TTTCAAAAGTACCGGTTTGGCACCGGTATCGGATAAAACCTAAACGATACCCATCCCTAAACATATTGTATTTATTTTGTTCCATCCTTCTCAGATCTGCTGTCAGTCATCAGCATCACTACATCTGCTTGAAAGTGCAATTGCTGCAATCAAGCTGCTTCTAAAATAGAACTGAAAGAAGGTAATTAAAGAGCAATGATTTTATTCACTAACGACATCTCCAGGCCAAGTCTAAGAGCGCCTTCACTCTAAAGGTTTGTTTGAGGTACGAAACACTTACTGCCAGTACGTTTATGTAGAAATCTTGGATACTTGTGCTTCATTTACTTAGTTTACATAGTTTCGAGTTTCTGCTACTTACACTAGCATACACTATTGTTATAACAAATATATAGGACTGCTTTCTTCCATTTGTGCAATATCTCTGAAATCCTGTCTATCCTGTCTCAGAGTGACACTGAAAAACTAGTTCATGCATTTATTACTTCTCAATCCTCATGTGAATGCAGTGGTAAAATCCTGCTTTTTCCAACTGAGGCAACCATCAAAGGTCAAGTCTCTTCTAGCCAAACTCAACCTTGAGTTAATAGCTTCTCGTCTCGATTACTATCATGCACCTTTCAATCGTAATCAGCTGGTGCAAAAAACATCACCGCTTTATTTTTATCTGGCACAAGCGAGTGAGAGCACATCACTCCAGTTTTAGCGTCCCTTCACTAGATTCCAATTCGTTTATGAATTCATTTTAAAATCCTTTTATTTGTCTTTAAGTCTCTTAATGATCCGTCCGAGCTGGAGCACCTTTACGTCCCCCCTCGTTCTCTCGGGTCAGCAGACCAGATGCTTTTACTTATTCCAAAGACGGAATAAACTCAGAGGTGACAGGCTTTTTGCAGTTGTGGCTCCAAAATTGTGGAATGATTTTCCACTGCGTGTGCAGCATGCTCCTCCGCTCACTGTTTTTGAAATCTCATTTAAATACACACTTTTACTCCCTGGCCTTCGACCCAGTGTGAGATGTCTATGTTACATTTATGTACTCGTTTCTTGTTTAACTTTAGCTCTTTTGTTTTTCTATATCTTTTACCTTCTGTCATGTGTTTGTCTTTTATATTTGGTGTTATTGTACAGCACATTGGTCAGCCCTGTTATTGTTTTAAAAGTGCCTTCTAAATAAAGTGCTATGGTATGGTACTTCAACCCTGAACCACTCTGTAGTTATCCTGCTATAGGCGCAGACTGCTGGGATTATGCCCTGAGCACCTCTCCTCCCCTCTCCTCTATTTACTCCCCATGTGTAAATGTGCCACTACTGCATGCCATCAACTTATGTGTACTTTCTCCTCTAGTTTGCACCATTTGCAGAGTTAATTGTTTTTGTGAAGTGGTGCTATATAAATAAAAGGAAACTAACTGAACAATTTCTGTTATATTTCAAAGCAAAATATTGTATATTTCACTCAGCTACATGATGTATGTGTTTTGCTGTGATGAGTGCATTCCTGTTAATCTTGTTTATACCCACGAGGACAGTGTCTCACACACACACACACACACACACACTAGTGACACAATAAACATTCTTGCCAACGGTTTCACAGTTATCTTCTAATCTGCAGGTGGTCACTACATCAAATGATACACAGCAATGTGGGAAGAGAAGACTGCAGGGAAATAAAGCTGTAATAAAAGATGTAAACTGTTTGGGGGTTTGGATACTTCTTCTTTGCTTGGCTGAGTGTCAATGAATAGAAATAGCATCATTTTGATTTTCTACAAAAAAATGCAATTTGGTTCCTTTAAGCTGGTCGCTTTAGTTACCATTTAGTTTGCAGGTTAAAATGTTTGAGGTGAAACATACCATAAAGTCAGTATGATGCATTGGCATGGCTCATATTAGCCGTCTGCCAAGCTAGTATCAGCTAATATCAGTATAAATCTTTTAAATGCCTCATGCATTTAAATTGAAAAACTAAAGAACAGACATGGGAAACACACTTTCAGAGATGCCGATACTGCATATTTTGCCCACAAGAGGGCACTCTGCAACATTCTTGTTAGCTAGACACGTGTTTGAAAACATACCAAACATAACAGTCAGCTGAGGTTAGCAGAATCAAGCAAAGCATTAAATAACTAAACATAACAAATGTTTGTTTAACTTTTATGTGTCTGAAAGAAAAAGGAGTATATAAATAAATATAAATGTATTTATATAGCGCTTTACTAGTCCCTAAGGACCCCAAAGCGCTTTACACATCCTGTCATCCACCCATTCACACACACATTCACACACTGGTGATGGCAGCTACATTGTAGCCACAGCCACCCTGGGGCGCACTGACAGAGGCGAGGCTGCCGGACACTGGCGCCACCGGGCCCTCTGACCACCACCAGTAGGCAACAGGACATTATATCAGAATATGAGATTTTTAAATAGGCAAATGTCAGGCAGTGATGTTAGAAATGCTTTATCAGTCAGGCTCTAATCAACCCTGGTTTTCATTCACAGATTTGTGATATACACACTTCAAACCTGTTAGTTTATGCAGCTTAATAATTCCATAGTTTCAGTCATTTTTCATTTTCAAGGAACAACCAAGAGACCTCTGTGTATTTCACTTTATATCAAACAAATTTGTCAGATGTAGCTTCTGAAAACTGACTTATGACACTTAATGTGGCTTTTTAGACATATATTTTTTATTTAATAATTTATTTATAGCAGCATCTCATCTTGGATGTTGACTTGACCTTTTTCAGTGCAGCTACGACGTAAATGTTGCAATTTACTTGCAGGCGTCTTATGCAATGATAAAGTTAGATTGCACACAACTTAACGTTTAGGTGGGTAAAAATGTTTCAGCCAGATATTGTCCTGCATACGTTTTAAGGCAGGTAATGACAGAGTACGGGCAATTTTAGACCCATCAGAGATGATTGTGCAGTGACTCAATTATCCATTATAAATCCCTCCACATCAGTCAAGTGGACACACCTTTTAAGGGGGAGTTGGGAGAAACTGTCCCCTCCCTGTAAACCCTGGTCAAATTCTCTTTGAACACAAAATACAGAGGTTTCATGAGCTGAAACAATCTGTGCCAAATAACAAGAGCTGGCTCATGCCAGCAAATGTGTTTGTCTCTCAAGTTCTAAAAAATCTTTCTCCAACTTGTCTGCTTCCCTGAATCTGACCCATCACCCCTTGTTTTCTGTGTTTGTCCTCATCACGCCTACAACTGAGCAGGGCTGCTCTGTACTTGAACTACACCCACACTCCAGTCTCCCAGCGAGTGGACAAACATGTTATTTCCCAAATCAGAAATCCATTTGCAACTTCTTGCAAACACTTCCCACACAGACAAAACGGTATTAAGAGCTCGACAAGAGCAAACTGTCCTCTTTTTTTCCCAGACACGTAACCCTGCAATCAACCCTGCAGGATAAAACTACACACGCTTTAGTTTTAGGTTCTTCAGGAGTCTCCACTCTTTTCTCTTCTCTTTGCAGCAGTTAGATTACTGAAAAACAACAGGAACGCCGTGCGCTGTCTGATTGCATAGTTGCACAAAATGCAAACTTTTTTCCGCTTTGTTTGATTTTTCTGTCCAGATAAAATACAGAGGACGGAAAAGAAAAACAAAAGTCAGATTAGTGCTGGTGAGGTCACGGGGGTTTAGGTGGTGTGGCTTACATCCTTTCCGACTGGAAATCACGACGCTAGTTCTTCAAAGAAGCTTTTCTCCTCGTCCGTTTCACTCACTTTCCTGGCCAGGTAAAGCGTGGCCTGGCTAAATCAATTTTATTCCCGACTTTTCAGAATCTCATCTCATGAGATGTTGTCTGGTTCCGTCAGTTTATTATCAAGTATAATCTTGTAAAAGGAATTCAAATCAAATTACACGGAGATCTGTGGCTCTGCTAGATCAAGCAGCGTTGGAGTGGCTGCTTGACATACGCAGAGATACTGTTTCACTTGCATTGGCGCTAATCGATTTCTCCATGACTCACAGACTACATTGAGAGAAAAAAAGAAGAAAAGCTTAAGTTTAAGTGTTTCTTACATCTCCCCCACTGTCTTTAACACCTAGGATGTTTGGGTGCTGAGAAAGCTCCACCACAGCGTCCAGTGGCAGCTCCAGCCCCGTGTTTGCCGGCACGCTGTAGAGAACCACCGGCACCGGGCTGCTGTCCGCCAGCTGCAATAGAGAAAAAACAGGTGAGACCTCAAATAAAACACCTGTTGAAGGTTCCCAAACTTTCCCTGTCTTTTCTTCATTTACAGTGAATTTACTAACTCGGATCAGGCTCAGACTATAAGAACACAATTCCTGGTGGCATGGCTGGCTGACATTCAACTATGTGCAACTATTAAAACTGCGATGGGCAAATAATGATCACGAATCGTGGAAGCAACAGTGAGCAGGTACTGCAGTCAGAACTGCAGACCATCAACACACATAAGCAATTAAACATTGTCTGGAGTGCAGTGTTGATACAGCTTCTGCCATGTTTGCATGCAGCTGGCTCTAATTATTCTAAGATAATCAGCACAGGTCTGATCACAAGTCTGAGGGTGAAAAACAAAGACACTTTATTCCTTGTTATCAAACTCCGGTTGGTTCAGCAAAATGAAAGAATACTCACACTAAAACTTCCTCCCACGTGGTGCTCATTTAATCTTCTTCTTTCATTTTCTTCTAAAAAGACTTTTTGTACTCGTAAATCTAACTGACGTCGAGCTCAGCAAAGCGTAGATGATATATATATAATGCAATATTTAAACCCAAAGGGCCGTACTGCTTTGTTGTAATAAACAGACATGCTTTACTTGAGAAGTGGAGAAATATTATTCTGATAGATATTTTTAAACACAGAAGCTCCTCATAGATAATTCCTAGAGTAACTCTTCAATGGAAATATGCATAATTTTCAGAATTAATAAGCACACACATTTATATAGTTGTTTTGACACACATGATCACATGGAAATATAATGAATTTTTGTTTTTGTATTCATCTCTGTTGCATCTTTTACCCTCCTCTGAGAGTGCTGCAGCACCTCGCTTTGGGAAGCACTGATTGTTCATCCTTTTTTTTTTTTTTTTAAAACACCAAATCAAGGCCTAACCCCAAATGTGCGCGGCACTCTGTTTTCGTGTGTTTGCGCTGACCTTTGTGAAGTGATGGATCAGCGCCCGGCTGTCCATCTTCCCCTTGTAGAAGCAGGGTGTTACCACAAGCACAGCGTCGGCTCCGGCTGCTGCCATCTTCTGCGTGAGCTGGATCGTGGCTCTGGTGGCTGAACAGGAAAAGGAGGAAAGGAAACAACTTCAACACAGACTTTCACTTTTGACTAATTTAATCAAGCAGAATCGCTAGATTCATGAACCTCCTCTGTGCTCTGCAATAGTTAAATTTACATTATATTACCCCACCCCTCAGTCCACAGAATAATTGTCTGGCACGAAACTGGTCCAGGACACAAAAAGCTCGGGGAGCACTGGAATAACCCGTTTTTGTCTTTGTTTGCAGTATTTTATAGAAGCTTGACTGGGACAGTTCACGTAGTAAATGTGCCTGCAGAGTGTAACTGTAACATCTGATGTAAACACTGATTAGCCACAGCTGACAAACCACCTGCCAAACATCGTTTAGTTTACCCGTCTTGGCACCAAACCAATGAAGGTATGAACTAGGGATGCACCGATACCACTTTTTTGGAAACGAGTACGAGTACTTGCATTTCAGTCCTCGCCGATACCGATACCGAGTACTTAATAAAAACATGATTTAAATTTACAGGTAACAGCTTTAGTCCTATATTTTAACAAAAAAAACCCAAACAAACAAGGGACTGGTTTGGAATTAAGAACATTTATTTAAAATGAAGCATGTTGTATGCAACATATTACAGAATAAATAATTATGAAAAAAAAATTTAAACAGTGACAGTGCAACTCAGGTATTGTTTTCAGTTTATTGTAAACTCTGCTGCTGTGGCAGGGTTGTTTTTTTAAAGAAAAGTAGCTTTTCTGCATTATCAGCAGTCAGACTGTTTCTGTTTTCATCTATAATGTGTGACACTGAGCTAAAAAGCCTTTCACTTTCCACACTGCTACATGGGGCTGAGAGGTATTTACTCGTCTGTTT